GGTAACCGTATACTTTATGTTAGGCAAAACCACGTGCTCTTGAATGGTAACCTAACACTTTATGTTAAGCAAAACAACGTGCTCTTGAATGATAACTGTATGTTAGGCAAAACCACGTGCTCTTGAATGGTAACCCTACACTTAATGTGAGGCAAAACCACGTGCTCTTGAATGATAACCATATATTAGGCAAAACCACGTGCTCTTGAATGGTAACCCTACACTTTATGTTAGGCAAAACCACGTGCTCTTGAATGGTAACCCTACACTTTATGTTAGGCAAAACCACGTGCTCTTGAATGATAACCGTATGTTAGGCAACACCACGTGCTCTGGAATGGTAACCCTACACTTAATGTTAGGCAAAACCACGTGCTCTTGAATGGTTACCCAACACTTTATATTAAGCAAAACCACGTGCTCTTGAATGATAACCGTATATTAGCCAAACCACGTGCTCTGGAATGATAACCGTATGTGAGCCAAACCACGTGCTCTTGAATGATAACCGTATATTAGCCAAACCACGTGCTCTTGAATGATAACCGTATATTAGCCAAACCACGTGCTCTTGAATGATAACCGTATATTAGCCAAACCACGTGCTCTTGAATGATAACCGTATATTAGCCAAACCACGTGCTCTTTAATGATAACCGTATGTGAGCCAAACCACGTGCTCTTGAATGATAACCGTATGTTAGGCAAAACCGCGTGCTCTTGGATGATAACCGTATGTTAAACAAAACCACGTGCTCTTGAATGATAACCGTATGTTAGGCAAAACCACGTGCTCTTAAATACTAATCCTACACTCTATGTTAGGCAAAACAACGTGATCTTGAATGGTTACCGTACACTTTATGTAAGGCAAAACCACGTGCTCTTGAAATATAACCGTATGGTAGGCAAAACCACGTGCTCTTGAATGATAAACGTATGTTAGGCAAAACCACGTGCTCTTGAATTGTAACCGTACACTTTATGTTAGGCAAAACCATGTGCTCTTGAATGGTTACCCAAAACTGTATATTAAGCAAAACCACGTGCTCTTGAATGATAACCGTATGTTAGGCAAAACCACGTGCTCTTGAATGGTAACCGTACACTTTATGTTAGGCAAAACCACGTGCTCTTGAATGGTAACCGCACACTTTATGTTAGGCAAAACCACGTGCTCTTGAATGATAACCGTATCTTAGACAAAATCACGTGCTCCTGAACGATAACTGTATGCTAGGCAAAACCACGTGCTCTTGAATGATAACCGTATGTTAGCAAAATCACGTGTTCTTGAATGATAACCGTATGTTAGACAAAACCACGTGCTCTTGAATGGTAACGGTATATTAGGCAAAACCACGTGCTCTTGAATGATAACCGTATGTTAGCAAAATCACGTGTTCTTGAATGATAACCGTATGTTAATAAAATCACGTGTTCTTGAATGATAACCGTATGTTAGACAAAACCACGTGCTCCTGATGTTAGACAAAACCTCGTGCTCCTGAATGGTAACGGTATGTTAGACAAAACCACGTGCTCATGAATTGTAACCGTATACTAGACAAAACCCTGTGCTCCTGAATTGTAACCGTATGTTAGCGAAACCACGTGCTCCTGAATGGTAAATGCATGCGTTCCATGCGCCACATGTGGCAATAGTCATGAAGTTATCCATCAAATCGTGACAATATGAAAGGCATTTACAATTTCAGAATATTGTTCATGGAAATCAGAACATAATAGCACCTTTACGTCCTTATTGAACGTAGATTGATCATGAAGCACACCCGGTCCCTCGTTTTTACATTCTCTTTCTTTTATTATTTTAGTGCGATTTTCAGGAGTATATTGGGTATAAAACATTTCCCGAATGTGCCAGGGATCCATTCAACATCAACTCTTTCTTGAACATCGGAGTATCGGATGACAATGTCCAGGTATATATGATAAAGACAGAAGCAAATAATTCATGCACGTGTTAATGCTTAATAATTAATAATAGCAAAACAATATAACGTACTCCAGTTTGAAATAATAGAGAATTAAGTCTTTTCGTGTAGGATACACGTCCCATTAAAAGCTGTGAGATTGTATGTGTGTGTAACAGGAGAAAGAGAAATGCAACGGTCATACGGGGATTCGAGTCCAGGACCCTCTGAATTCTAGACAGACGATCGACCTAGTCCAGTTCCACTTTGTGTTTTGTTTGTCTACTGTGTTTTATCGCACCGGTATGAACTGCCAGCATAATGAAACTTATGTCAGTTGTAACATTGAATCTTTGAACAGATTAACTTAAATCCTGATGCAAGGTTATATGGCGCGGAACAGGCACTGACAAGTACAGATTAACGTCATTATCATGACGATGCGGCATGTCTTTGACAACCGTCAAGCTCTCGACTACCAATGGCATGAACAAACCATGAAGATAGCACTAATAACAGAACTTTTGCAAAAAAATTCCTACAGTCATTATTTCTAGTACGTCTCGAACAGAAAACAAGACATAGGCGAACTGATGCATATACTTAAATAACTGTAACCTTAAATCTGACATCATCATTGGTCCAGAGACATTGTTCAACAGTCACAGCTAGCGTTCTATGAACACTGTCCTCTAACTGAATGCAAAGCCAACAGAAAAGACCGTTTTCCAAAATAGGCATTACTCTTGTCACTTATAAACATTTACAGGCAGACAATGAAGCCATTTTATACTGTTGCGAGGACATGAAACCCAAAATAAAAACCTTTCACTCAGACCGGACAAAGGTTATGTTACATGTACCTCCACTAGCGATCGCACGAAAACCAAATTCACATACGAACCTCATGTATTACAACAGGAGGAAATCAAGTAAACACTGACATACTATAATCTAAATGTGGTACACAAATCCACAGCGTCACACATGGCTTAAAGCACTTGGATTCACAAAATAGCACTCCTAACCGTTCAAAAACACAAAAGCCATATAGATATACTGACATAGACAGGTTTTTGCGTACTGGGCTCATACAACACACACAGATTGAATAACTGGAACACATGACGGGTAGTAGAATGATTGATACATAACAGATACCACAACAGTAGATAGGTACAAAAGCGATGTCTAAAATATACACTCTCTCACTAGACTAATAACTAAAATATTTTCACCATACACTATCAGTTAGCAGTAAGTAGGCCCTAACACAATCTTCCAGCTAAACAGACTCCAGAAGGGATAAGCCTATCACTACGGAACCAACACATATTTGCTATGTTGATATGTTATATACACTAAATCAATACCCTCCGCCCCATATGCAAAACATACTTTATTTCGGTAGCAGCATAGCGGCGTTATGCTCCTTTATAAATATTTCACAGTTTTCGTACTCGTAATATTATCATTGTAGATTTAAAACTGAAATCTGAATCATGAAGACAACGTTTATTTTCCTTTACCTTAACATTAGGTACGGAAAATATCGTTGTGTATAATTCTCGCCCTTTTGACACCTCAACCTTTTCAGTTTGACGTTTTAACGTAAATACACATACAAGTTGATTAACATTAAAACATGATATTCTTTTCAGGTGAGTGAAGAATTGTTTGACGGTGTTAAAGTGAGGCTATATGTACCACGTGATCAAACCGTAAAAAGCCCTCTACCGGGGATAATTTACTTACATGGAGGCGGCTGGATCATTGGATCAACAGGTGAGAGTAAAAGAATATCAAGATTAATTGAATTTGTTTGTATTCAAATTTTGAGCTGCTTCCAGTTCTCATCCATAAGCAATATGCTGATAATGATGATGACGTCACCAATCACGCTATTGCATTCATGCATGTTGGTGATACATTGTATATAGTCATTACATTATCGTTCAACATGTTTTAGTGCGCTAAAGGAAGAAATAAACTTTAATTTCATATAAGGAAGAAAAAAAGTTTATTTTTCGTATTATATACAACATCAATCCTGAGAGCTTATTAGGTAGAGGCTGGCTCGATCACCTGGTCTGTGGACTGACATCTGTGATACTGTGGGTCAAATATAAATAAACGACATATCATAACTGTTTTACAGTGTTAAATATGACTGATTCCTGCCATGTGACTATGTTTTTAGGCTATGTCATTTTATACATTTAACACGTAACGATGTAATTGTGATATATGGCAATGTAATAAACAATACAGACCATACAGTAACAGTACCATGCCATGATAAATAAAAGTTCTGATGCTGATAAAATTCACGACATTAAGGTAATGTTTCAAATTGTAACGTGATCATCTAACGACGAAATAAATGAAACTGGAATAGTTTGTTATTATTCATTACTTTTCGTTGTTATACGTGAGCTTATCCTATTTTGAAACGTTAGCCCTTCGTTATTACAGATTAACAGTTTAGTAGCAATTTGTTGCAATACGTAAACTGATCTTAATTATACATTTAATATTCGTTCCATACATTAAATTACGTGTTATACGTTTAATGATTGTTACTACATGTTATAGTCAATTACCGAAAGCACGAGTAGTAACACAAGTCTTAAACTAACATTTTGGGAGACAACAATTATTTTTTTTCATTTTACTCCTATTCTTTATTTTTCATTCATTCGTTCTTGTTTCTTTCCTTTTTTTCTTTTTCATTTCATTCAATCATTCGTTCATTCTTTTTTTCTCTATCTTCATTTCTCATTCATTCATTCATTCTTTCTTTCTTTCTTTCTTTTTCCTTTCTTACTTTGCTCTTGCTGTTTTTAAAACCAACTCGGCCCTGGACCGATTAATTTTGAAAGGGGAGCAGTTGGTCACGGTGTTAATGGCGTGATATAGTTAAAATGATCAAAATATTCATATACCAGTCATGAGAACACAACATATTGCTTTTAATTTTGAGTTTGCCCAACATATTTTTTACTAATATTATACGAGGAAATGTGATTAGCATATTAAAAAAAAATAAAAAAAAAATAAAATTAAAATGTATCATTATTTAAAATATAATACGTTTATTATAATTCAAAATATATTGATTTTTTATTTTTTTAAAAGAAACACTGTTTGTCGCGATATTAACAATGGCACAAATATGGACAGTAGAAATGACGATTACATCAGTACTATATGTTTCAGTTTGAATATGTTTCAAATGTATTACAGACATGTATGATGAACTAACCAGGAATCTTGCCACGTCCCTTTCGGCAGTCGTCGCCTCTGTTGAGTAAAGTTCATTTATTAATATTGTCTTTGATAAATTATGGAAACAAACAAATATTTGTAATCTATTTAGATCCATGATTGACATATGTTTTAGTTTTCGTTTTAATGACATTTTAATTGTGCAGTTATCACAAACTTTAAACGCTATAGTACTTATCAATGCAATATTATTGTCATTTTAAATCAGTTTTTTGATAATATTCATTTTTTATTATCATTGTCCTGACATGTCCATGTTAATTTTTAGTTACCGATTGGCCCCAGAATACCCCTTTCCTGTACCGTTTGAAGACTGCTTAAAAGCCACGAAATATTTCATGGTCAACGCCGAGAAATTCGGGGTGGATGCCAGTCGGATCGCTGTGTCAGGTGATTGTCTATAGGGTGCTATAGAAACGCAGCCAACAATTGGCTATGTACTAAAGTATACAGTTTATTATATCATACGAATCAAACTAATTATGCTAAGAGAGAGAAAGCCACGACGAATAATTGATTTTTTTATCCAATATAGATGATTATAACACTTGTCTGTCATCATAGATGTGCATTGTTAATTTAAGTTTCGGAATGACTCCACTGACCCGCTTATTATCCTTATCTACAAACATGCAATCTACAAACGTTCACTCCACTAGTAATTCTCTTAATAAGTGCAATGAATTTTATACCTTAATATTAAACTGGATGTTCTGTCACCATCAATATTAATAAGTATTACAAATAAAAAAGTGACTCATTTCACACACATGTTAACAATTGCACCGTCTACAAACATGTATTCTGCAAATGTTCAATCTTCTAATAATTAAAATGTGCAATGAGTTTCATACCTAAATTTGAAAGTGTCTGTTCTGTCACCATCCATATCAAATAATTGATGAAACTTGATCACTATTGATATCGTTTCTTCATACCAAGTAAGGCCCTCTTTATCTTTATTTCTTATATTGTTCGTATAATAAAACAATAGATTTCCACATTACGGGGTGACATGACGATTTGCCCACCCTCGAGTTGTTATGGCACCATCGGGCTTTGCCCTCAGGTGAATTAACAACTCTCAGGTGGTTAAATCGTCATGGCAGCCCATGATGTGGGCATCAATTGTATCAAACAGGTTATGATTGCAAGATCATAGTCACGAGACGTTTGTACAATATACATTTTTTAAACTCCGGAAACAAATGCTGAAATTTACGGTAACAACGCTTGAGGTACATGTTTTACCTTGATTCGGATGGCCGGGAAATGAGCTTAAAGCTCGTATTGGCCTAACTGAAATCTTTTACATCAATTCTCTAATGTTTTCGCTGCGCTAGCGGTACATGACCTGCATATGTGGAGCATAATGGAGCAACTGATCTAGTTAAGAAAACAACAAAATATCATTTATGGTGCAGTTGCATATTCTCAGCTAGATATTTTTGTTTTGTGATACGTGTTTCATAATATAACTTAAGTGTATGCCACATACTTTTATAAATCAATTGTCTGTAATAAGCGCTTCAAAGTACTACTTGGCTGAACAGCACACACTTTAATAAATTAATGTTCTGTAATAGGCGATAGTGCAGGAGGAAACCTGGCGATGGCTGTTGGAACTAAGCTGACTAAGGAAGGACAACCCCCTCGACTGCTTGGGCTGATATACCCAGCTCTACAGATGCTGGATTTCAACACTCCATCATACGTTACGTATCAGTCGATTCCATTTGTACTGCAGAAAAAAAGAATGGTCAGCTTTTATATAACGTATGCATTTGGCAACGAAAATGGCATAGAGAAATACTTGGAGAACAGACATGTATCTGAAACCCTGCGGCGTGCAATGGAGACTAAAGTAAGTATAGATTTGCTACCTGAAAAATACCAAAAGCTCCATGTTGAAACCAATACAGCTGTGGACACAAATCTGGCACTGAAAGTCGAGAAAACAATGAACAATATATATCTATGTCCTCTTCTGCTTGATGACGATGAACTGTATGCATTACCCAAAACCTACTTGTTGACTTGTGAATATGACCCCTTGCGAGATGACGGTCTCATGCTAGCAAGAAGATGGAAAGATATGTACTTCCCTGTGACACACGTACACTGGGATGGTGTACAGCACGGCTTCTTCAGTGGAGGGAATTCCAACTGTACAAAGGAAGCTGTTGACGACTTTATAAAATACCTCAGGGCGGAATTGTAAATTTACATAGTTTTAATTTGTTATGAGTTTATTCTCATTTTGTATGACGTGGTTTTTTTCGCATGAAAAGGATACATGTAAGTGAGGTAATGTTGTTGTTCGTGGTATATCACGCTGTAAATACTCAACATTTACGTCAGACCCGGGAATAACTTGTTTTATGAGTGTGCTTCATATGTTGTTCGTGGCAGATAATACTCTAATCACTGAAAATTACGTCATTTCCTGTAAAACGTAGATTTGTGATTCTACAGATGACATATTCTCGAAGATTTGATTAGAAAAATGAATTGACATAAGCATTTACACCTTGGTCTGTATTCATAAAACCGTTCTCATGTTCAAGTATAGAGTCTGTGCTCAAACCATTTCTTTCCCGTTGTTTAAAGCATATGGCACTGTCAAAATGTCAGGGGTAAACACTGCCTAAAATATTGACAAGTTTGATTTCTATTAGTTCATCACAGGGACAAGAAAGTGGTATTGAGCGCAGAATCTGAGATTGAGTACAATACCGGTTATCACAAATACGGGCCCTGGATAGGATGTGTACTTAAAATTCAGAGGTTCTAGCACACAAAATATCGTTAAATATGATAGTAATTTTGAAATAAATAAAATAAATAACATACGATTTTAACTTCGTGTAATATAAATTGTTGAAAGATTTACTACTGATTTTCTGTGATGGCTCGCTTTGCATTTTTATTACATCAATGAATATGTCAATGGATCTACGTTAGCATATAGGAAAATCAATAAAATCTACAAAAAGAGCAAACGTTTACTTTTATTTTATTTTTACTTTTTTGTAGACATGATATATGACGTGTGACAATTATACATGTATAAAGTTACAAATACTAAGGTTCTTGTTTGTTAAAAAACTGTTATCGTATGATTTACAAGACGAATTCGGTTTTCATAAGATAACCTACTCTACCCTAGGCTAGTTATCAAGTAACTACCTAGGTGGTGTAGGCCTTTCACATTTAATAACTGCAGTACATCTGGAAAACTGGCTCAAGCCTCAACACTTAAATAATCATTTTTGTGTTTCACTGCCACGATCCATAATACATGGCCTATGTCTATATGTATACCCCTGTTCAACCCCCGGACCTTACTATATACACTGTGTATGAACATGTATATCTGTAACTATTTAATATATCATGTGCCAAAAATGCCTTGATTACTTGATACAAGGCCAATATAATCAAATTAAACGTTGTAAAGTAAAACAGTCATTAAACAGAGCAGGACTACCAGGACTGATGAGAACAACACGATTGTAATGATCGCATATAACATTTAAAAAATGACTCGATTACTTGATTATAAATATGAACTAAGTTCCGTGAAAAGTACGGTTGGTAGTTTCATAGAACAAATTACCGCTGTTTTCTTATAATGTCAGTTGTATACCGATTTTTTGCACGAAAAAATAAAGAACTTTAAAGCAAACGGATAGAGCCTAAAGTAAAAAAATATATACTTCAGGATGTCATTGATAAATACTCTACTTATAGAAAGCAGCTCCGATTTTTTTATATTAATTGGTCTTCTTTTCGAAACGAGAGAAGGATGGAGAAAGTCTTAGTAGATACTGATACATTTTAGACGGTCCACCCTTTAGGTATACACAACGTGCTTAGAACAAAACACTACACACCAGATGAAGTCGGCGAACTACAAATAGTAGACAAAAGCATGACAATTATGAACACAGCGATTGGAGTTTAAGGTGTTGGGGTCTTAATAGTCATAAGTATATCTCCAAGACCAAAATTTAAAAAAAAAACGTTCAAACGGACTTAATGGGTTACAATAAATTGTAAAAAAGAAAAGAAAAGCGTTTAACCTACCTTTTGAAAAGAATTTACAAATGTTCACAATAATCAGCAGATACAAGTTTAAGATTTATTTATCTATCTGATTTGGAATCCAGCTTGACTATTTCGATTTTTTGGATCGTACACTTTCTTTCCACTTTCTTGATAGTAACATTCCTGATTCTCATCATTTCGGAGGTGATTCTTTTCCATGTATGGAAATATTGTGAATTGTAAATACTTATTTCATATTTCTAGTGTCAGATTATATCGTCTACTTATATGTAAATATGAATTAAATATATCTATCTAACCGTATATATTGATTTACCTGCAACGAGTTGTTTTGTTAAGAGATCCTAACTTTATTTCAAATCCAGTTAGCCACAGACGGCTAGACACATGAATGCTGTCAGCTAAACTTTCTAATCGGGCATACCCTTGAATTTTTATATCATGTTTCGTACTGTACATCGGATAATGATCGCATGTGATTAAGGTATTTCATACATGCCTTTGTCAGTGTATATAGTATGTGATGGGCTCATAACTTTTCCTCAAAATGAAAAAAATATGGAAGTTGGTTGGTATACCCATGTCAAGAACAATGTCAATAATGACCTTTGCAGAAATTAATTGTCGAATGTATTCTTGATTTTGTCTAAAAAGTAACTTTTGAATGCAGAATTTCAGTGGCGCAAAATTGCATTGAATATTATAATTTATGAAAACACTTACCTGTACATGCATTTCTGAAGTATCCGTGTATTGAACTCAATTAATATCAAATTGCTTCATTTATATAATTGAGGAAGTGCTAAAGAGTGTGCCTGCATGTCTCAACTGGATACGGGGACCAATTTTTCAACGATCACCGGACACTGACACAAACGACAGAGACCTTGCACATCAAATGATGTTTCTACTTTCAAAAACAAACTGCTTGGCTCAGAGGGTGAAAACAACTAGCTCTCTCCAAGAGAGCAAAGTCAGAATTCGTAAAGATTATGAAATATGTGTGTATCAGCACTCTCAAGACCTCATCCGTTGTCAGTTTGGTTCCAGACACAAAAGCCAGACTAAATATAATGTTTGGATTCAGTACACGACACCAAATGGTAATAATCCAATAAAAGATTACTGCTGCCAATGCCAAGTTGGTCAAAGAACTATGGGACTGTGTGTTCCTACATCAAGTATACTTTATTATCTTGGCTATCATAGCAATCTGCAAAACCCAGAACAGTTGCACCCAAGGGCTAAAACATTCCGACAAAGCTTGAAATAAGTAGTTTTCTTGTGAATCTAGAATCACCAGTTTGAAAACAGACTTAAAGCCTTGCATCCTTTTTTCTTCCTTCTTTTTTCCAAGTCTGCCATTCGAACACATTTCATACTCTTGCATCTTGCAAAACATTGTCTGTAAATGTCATCAGCTGTTAATACGGCGTCTTACTTTAATATATATATATATATATAAACAAAGTAGCCAACAAACGCACAATCTCTGAATTCCATTGATAGTTGTCTATGAATCTGACAACTGCATCGAATCTTTTCCAAACATCTTTTCTGTTGATTTTGATACTCATTCAATCAAAACTGGAACTTTTGTTTCTTCTTTTCTGACAGTTTGCAATCATAATGATTAGACCATACTTATAGTCATGAATTGTGACGTATAGACCATATTAGTCATTTTATCCCTTCTTTGAATATGTTCCACCGCATATTTTGGATTGACATTTTTGTCACTGATAGATCAGGACCTAGTCCATCTATAATCAAAATATGTTTGGTATACAAAAGTTATAAGATACTTTTATTCTAAGATGAACACATTTTTCGTCTGGAAAATATCATTGCTTTAGATAGCTTCTGGTTGTTGATTTGTATGTAACTATCTAATAACTAACCAAAGCAAGGGATTTTTATGTGTTTACTGTAGTATATGATTCGTAGTTTCGGTTGCATCATAAATGATCTTTTAGTGCATTGTTACTTTGAAAATAGTCGATCTTTTGGGAAAAACTCCGGCTTTTTGAGAATTTCAGTTTTATGCTTTTACGAAAAAAAACGAACGAAGTACTCATTTGAATTTTAATGGGAGTTTTTGTTATGATAAGGTTAAGGTCTACACATCACCAAAAGAAAATTGATATCAAAGCAGGGGCCATTTTGGAAACCCTCCTTTGGACAATCTGAGGTAGAATATGTTGGTCACATACATGTATTTAGAGCTTAGCTTCTCAAACAGCAGTTTACACGCCATGGCATACCAGAAGTACTCGAAACTAATAACGGTCCAGAGTATGCTTGTGATGAGTTTAGAAAATGCACAGCCTCATATGGAATCGAACACGTAACCTCTTCCCCACGTTATGCGCAGAGTAACGGCTTAGCAGAACCATACAAACTCACAAAATCTAGTGAAAAAAGCATTTGAAGACAACAAGGATCCTTATTTAGCCATCCTGGAGCTACGCAATACTAAAGTTTCAGGACTTGATGTGTCTCCTGTTGAATTATTGATGGCAAGGAAAATGAGAACAGTCATACCAACAAATAGATTACTGCTCAAACAGCGTTATGACACAGAGAAAGTAACACAACAGCTGCAGGAGAAACAAATACAAATGAAAAAGTATTTTGACAGGTCATCAAGGTCACCTCCTGATATTAAACCTGGTGATCTTGTAAGATTGCGAAATGAGGACGCAAACACTTTAGAACCAGCTCAGGTTGTACAGGAATCTGGAAAACCCCGATCCTTCATTGTGCGTAGCAGCAATAACAACGTCTACAGAAGGAATCGTCGTCATTTCTTAAAAACACAAGAAAAACACCAAGAACCGTGTGAAATTGAGCTTTCATATACTCCGCATGACTCAGTGCCAACTATGCCTTCTACAGCCTGTAAGAATGTGAACAATGATACTAATAATCACAGTCGATTAGTCAGGTACAGTAGATAGTGTCCAATAGAGGCAGAATAATCCCCGTATCTACCTCTGAGCGGGTAGAATGCCTACGCTAAGTTAAATACTTGGTAAAATCTTATTGTACATATGTTATTTCATTTATAAATGAACTGTTAACAGTGCGAAAATAGTTAATCAAATTGATACTAGATTTCCGGTGAAGTGACATTTCATTGCTACAGAAGGACAGTGTTAAAATAATTTGGAATTAATTCCAATTTACATTTCATTGATGAATATCTGGTTTAAAATCATTCTGTTTTATACGAGTGACTTCATTTAAGATAATCGAATAGCAGGAACTCTCGGCCGATTCGTTATGTCAACACATGTACGTACGGAAAATACGGGAAAATGAGAGTGAATTGGTTCTATGCTATATGAACGCTTCAAAACCTTTCGTCCTTCGGTCGTACAGGCCCGAAAAAAACGGCAACATGCGTCGTTCCGTGCCTGCATTGATGTTCTTTTTTTGTACAAACAATTAATTTGGTATTTTCAATGAATACCTTGTAGATTGATTGTAATTGATTGTTAGATTTAATTTCATATATATATAATTCAAGCTGAAAAGGGTGACGTTGTATGAAGGTAGGCAAGTTTCAATAAGAGTTGCCTCCCCTTACTGGATACCTCTCATTGATGTTGCTCATGCGCACTACTTATAAATGAAGTTACATGTCGTAAAAACAATATACCAATGGAATAAGGTTGAGGACGAGATTAATTTTCTCTTTGATTATCCAGTGTACTAATGTTTTATATGATCTTATTTGCCAATTCTTTAAATTCTTTAAACTTTCATGTCTTCAATTCATGTGATAATTTGTATGTGATATTGCAAGACAATGACCTTTGTTTTAAATCTCAAAGACTAACGTCAGCGTACCCAAAATGTATTTTATACCATAGTATTAATTTCAAAATATTTGTCCATTTTTCATAAATAGATACAATCCTCTTTTCTTTCTGTTACAAGTTTATATTACCGGCACGTAGTTCTATAAATAGAACGCGAAATACTATTGGGGTCACGTATGTTCTTGAGCAGGTGTAACTTTATCATGAAAGGGAAACTTTGTGTTTTTGGCAAATATCGGGGAATAAACGATTAGAGATTAAAGAGTCAAAGCAGGTTTTAGTTAAATTTCCAGTCCAAAATAGCATCAATGTTAAAATATAAGTTTCTGACAATGATATCAAAATATACAAAGTCGCATGGCATATTAATTAAGAAAGTTACGTTTTTAGTAAACATTGAACTGTCCATGTAGCCATAATCAGCAGTCAATAATTAATAAAGTCGATATATAGTGTAACAAAGTAAGTTTTACCGGACTTTAACAAAATATGCTGATATAATAATTGAATAAAAATTAATGAACTATATTTGGAAATTACTGATTAGCGCTTAAATTCCGCGCGGTCATTATTTCGCAGTTTCGTATTCAGTACATATGCAACGGGGGTTCAATTTGGCTGTGTACCCCAATCCTATGTGTCATGCAAAGTATTTTGAGTGTCATCATTGAAGGGTTAAACCTAAAAAATACAGGTAAACCGTGTGAAAATACTGATCCCGAGCGTCGTCATCCGCCAGTGACTTCACTCTAAAGAAAATAAAATGTACCCGAATCCTATGTGTCATGCAAAGTATTTTGAGTGTCATCATTGAAGGGTTAAACCTAAAAAATACAGGTAAACCGTGTGAAAATACTGATCCCGAGCGTCGTCATCCGTATGTACCTTTGTAGGAGTAAACTGTAATCAATTTATTACCAACTGTGTACACATAAATATGTTGTTGCCACTTTTACTTGTATGTAAGTGTTGTGTTTACATGAACTACACATTTGTCCGGTGATAACCATCCTCGATATCCAGGAGTTTACGTTTACTTCCGCTCTCTACACTCCTGGAATATGTCATAGCAAGGTAAAACAATCTGACCAATCGCTAGGCTGATGCCTGTCCGTTGAAGATTACAAAGGAGAGACGCCCGACTTCAAAGCCTGTCATTTTTTTACCGTTATGTGACCGCGAGATTCTTTTGATGTACATCAAAGGATCGATCTAGTCTTCTTGTCTCATCAACAATGTGGCGCACACCGAGCCTTCAATTTTGCTCTGACATATTTCCGGGGTGCAGAGAGCGAAAGTGAGCGTAACTCCTGGATATCGAGGATGGGTGATAACCTAAGCTTGCATAACAGCGTTCGGTTAAAAGTATTTTCAACATGTTGTTATAAGGTCCGTAAAGGTTGTTAACATTTTTGATAATTTGGCTGGTATTTAGAATTCGCGGATATTAGTCAAAACGCAAATATAGCGAAATTAAAAACCCTTGAAATGTAACCGCTTTACAGTATATTGACCTTTTGATAAAAGGGACGAATGTAATACGGTAAGGGTACCAGAAAGGGAAGACAACAAAAGATTTAATATCCGAGTTCATTAGTTCGGGAGTGTAGAGAGATATCATGGTACTATCCATTGTCCCATACCCCAAGAAATATATGTCGTCTAACCCAGGGAATGAAGCCAAACCATACCGATACATGTCACACATGCACATATACATGTGTTTCACAACACAAGGAACATTCATGGACATGGTCTGAACACAAGCTCTTACGTTAAGTAGCTGAAAGATTGAGACAACGCTGAAGTTACGAGTTTTTACTACTGTATGTATATGAGGTGTTGTTACCTTATTGTACATGTGCTATTACATATGTAACAAGACTGTTGATTAACATGTGTGAATAAACATGACTATTACCAAACAATTACGAACGTGTGTTACGGCTGCGCTCGCGACCCGATTTCGCACCCGACCCGATTTCTCACCCCAGCTCTATATCTTAATTGGGGTATTGTCTAGTGTTTTTCATCCAGGCTGTTTGATCTTTTCTAATACATTTTATTTTACAAAATAACAAAACTGTTTCTTTACTTTTTAAAATCATCTTTTCTCTGTTAAAAAACTGCAATCCATACATTAGTTAATTAGGAAAAAATGTTTGCTATAGGAATTACAATACCATCAATAGTGAAGCGATAACTCTTTACTGATTACACACGCATTCAGTGAGGAACAAAACATCGCGATGAATTTTCACTTTGCCTCGGATAAACAACGGATAACAGCTTAGTTCTGAGAATGTCCTGCAGGTACATATGTATTATGTATATTACTACGAATCCGAAATAAGCATGGAAAACCTACTAATCAACGTGGAATGAGGAATATAAGCTATTGATTAGATGGGAATACCGAATTGATAACAACACGAAGTCAAATTGTATTTAAAGTGTTTTGTAAATAATGGTACCGTTAGAAAAAAAACGTATTCCCAAAATGAAACCTTTCTTCCTTTCATTCGACAGCTGGATCGAAACAAGCAGCATATGTAAAATCTGCGCGCATACTGGTATTAATACCAGATACCTCTAACATTGGCAGGACATCTCTTAAACCACGACCAACGACTACATTGTCGTCTTGCTCCAACCATGTGAGCTTGTCTATGATGTTTTTGTAATGCTTGCATCATTTTGTCTTCCAGAGAATGGTCATACTGTGTTCAAAATGTAGCCATCCGGTAGAGTTATGTTCATGAATTTAAAATATTTATGTTCCTACTGGCCACCGTAAGACATTCTCTGAAGCTTATTGAGAGAACTTTTTTTAAATATAAATATATATGTACCATCTAGTATGGCAGTCACTCTGTCTCACAAGAATGTTTCTGAGAATACAGGATTGTATGAAAATATGTTCCCTCCTCAAATGGTCAGGACGAAGGAACACTGGAACTATAGATTTATGCAATGCTTGTACTACAGACTGAAAGGTTTTTGGGATACTAGGCAGAGAAATGCCAAGAGCGGAACACTTAATTACAAGAGATATCAGTTTTTATCTTTACCCAAAATAATAAAAGAGCATTTTGTGAAGTTTTGGTATATACTGGAGCAAAAAGAAATGGGGCAAATTACATATGGATTTTGAGAAACTAATCTTTTACCCACCTGTTCCAGCTTAGCCGGGGTCATCCAAGAGACTAAAATTGAGAATGAAGGCTGATTGATTCTTTGACAAGATGTACGACACTTCTAAAAGGTCACCAATTATTTCAAATGACCACCTTCATGGTTGAGAGTTCAAAGACCATCTTCCTTAAAGGATAACCTGTGTACAAGGGTTTAAGTCATTGCCAATAAGATAAAATGAATTCATATAATTAAAACAAAGACAACATTTCATATGTGAACAGGATTCAGGAGTCCTTGAACTACTAGTGGTTTCATCTTCAAAACGTTCTGTTTCAAATTCTTTTTAGTCTCTTTAAGTCAGTATATCCAAAAGCCATTATGGATTTTTTACTTTTACATTTCGTGTACCTTTACATTTATGAGATTTCGCGAAGATAGGTTGGCGACCTTCACCAATACAATTACTCTTCATTATGAGTTGAATAGTAACAACTGAGTATGAAATATCCCCTAAAAGCAATGTAAAAACGAATGTCTGATGATAAAATGTATAAAAAATTATAACAAAATGTATAAGAACAAATTCTAAAAAGTGACAAGAAAATTACATTTAATCTCAAAATCGATTGTAAACAAAATATTTATCAATCACGCCAAGTGATGAAATAAATTGGAATTTGGAATTGCTTGTGACCTAACATGCACTGTGTGACATAGCACTGTAGTGCGCATAACGTGATTTGAATTTGGCGCGTTCAGACTACAGGTACGTGTTCCGGATGTGGGGTGAGCGGTTGGAAAACGACGCCATGCAACACGCAAACGTAAACACTGCGTAGAAATGGGACACTAGAACGCAAACTACAGCTTGCGGTGAGTACCGTACCCATCAACACTTTTAGGTAACATCTGTGTGATTGTTTTGAATATGCTGTGTAGATAAACGGCGATATTTTATATAATGAGCTATTTATAGATACCTATGTGGTTTGGGGGAATACACGTGCGCTCATAGTATTGTTTGGTTATATGGGGTTTTATACAATAAGTACCAGGGTTATATGACATTTTACAACACTATATCACTATTATTTAGTATTGTTTATACTAAATAGTGTCCTTATACAGGGTAGCTGGTATCAGTTAATTAGAAGGAACGCACGGGTTAGTGGGTGTTAAATATTAAGGCGTCGTATGCCGTACTTTTGGGAAGTGTATAGTTAAGCTTTTCAATCACATATTTATATTAAATCAAGTCAGTTTCATTGTTGTAAATAGTATAGGGTATCATGATATCATTATTCAGTGGGTTATTTGTATTATATTGTAGTTTACTCCCATTACAAGTGTGACATGTCAGTCTGCGCTTAAGGATTGATACAGAGGTATTTTAGTGGGGAAGATGACCAAGCTAAGTGGTGGTGGAATGCTGTAGCTGACAGAAAGGGACCCGACCAACACTTAGGGAAAGAAGAAGGTTGTGACCCTATCTACTCTGTGTATTCTGACTATGCATACCGTGGTGACCGGACGTGGTGCCTGCGTGGTATATGTGTGGGGTTCTGTGGTGGACTGGTGTTATTAGGTTGAGGGGCAGCCTGTTGCTTGGACACACTCTAAGGTGGATATCTGGCCACCTGTGTAGATTGGTGGCTTCAAGGACATTGTATACTAAGATGGATAGCTGCCCATTGATATGATGTTCTCTGTATAAATACATGTAATTAACTGTGTGAATGTGAGTGTGGATGTAATATACTTTTGTTCTTAATATATGTGGGAATTAAATATTGTAAATAATGTAAATACAGTGTGTTGTGTTTCTATTCCTTCATGAGAGTTTACAATATGCTCATCCCGTTACACACTGAAAGATTTATTGTAGGCTTGCAACGAATTTCGTAACCAATTACCTGTAATCAAGTGCATCGCTTTTAAGTGGACGCCTGGGAGGCGTCTTAGGCCCTCACTTTTTTGGGCACATTGGGTACTTTGTTGTGCGAAATGAATACTTTCCACCACATTTTTTGGACTGAATTATTACAAACATATTCGAAATAACACCACTTCTTCATACTTTGATAATTGTTGGTATACAAGAATAATAAGAATGAAAAATCCTATATTTTACATTGAAATTTTCACAAAATGTTCGATTTAACTCACATTCTGGATGATAAATATGTTATTACATCACTACATGAGAGTAAATGTCCTTTCCCAAGTAATACGATGCAAACAATACGATTATTTTTCAGAAAAATACTTTCAGGCTGATGTTCCATTGTTCGACCCCCATGCTGTAATAAGGATAATTAATCATTAGAAGAGTGATTCAAAGTAATAACATCGGATGTATAAGGGATTGAAAAAAGTTAAAACAACAGCATAAATCTCGTAGCACTTCTGAAACAAAATGTATGAGGGGGCAGGTTCCTATGTAATTTTAACATAGCTGAATATAGTCCTTTTATAAAAAAAAAAAAAAAAAAGCCTAAAAATACCACAATCGCCAAAAATCATGATACCGGATAATATGCCTCCTCCTAACACGATTTCTCACCCGGGTGAGAAATCGTGTCGGGGTGAGAACTCGTGTCGGGGTGAGAAATCGTGCCGTAACCAAAGTGGACATGGTTTGGATACACGACACGCTTACGCTACTTAGCTGGAAGATTGAGACACAACGCTGAAGTTACGAATATATATAACTGTACGTAGATGAGATGTTGTTACCTATTGTGCATGCGCTACTTACGAGGCTATTTATCAACATATATGAATAAAATTACTATTACCAACAATTCCGAGCGTGGACATGGTTTGGACACACTCTTACGTTAAGAAGCTGGAAGATTAAGACACAACGCTGAAGCTACGAGTTCATGGTTTGGATACACACTTAAAAATGTACGTTACTTAGCTGGAAGATTGGGACACGAAACTGAAGTTACGAATATATATGATTGTACGCAGATGAGATGTTGTTACCTATTGTACATGTGCTATTAACGAGACTGTTTATCAACATGTATGAATAAAGATGAATATTACCAACAATTCCGAGCGTGGACATGGCTTGGACACACACTTACGTTTAGGTGCTGTTACACATTACCGATGTACCTCGCCCGGACTAAACCGGAGCAAACAATTAACAACGGCGAGAAAAACGTCAGAGCTCCGGTAAGAAAGCACTTGAAAAAATTATTTCAAATCGACCGTGGCCCGTTGTGTACCGTTGTTCTGCTGATGTGCTTCCGAATGCCACTTTTCTTACACCTCAGTGTTACCGATGAGCTGCCGATGTTACGGTAGTGCATCGTTAGTACATCGTTAGTGCATCGTTAGTACATCGTTAGTACATCGACGACGCATCAGTACATACCTCGGTGGTGTTCGGTAGTACAACGGTATCACTTCGGTACCAGTACGGTACACATTGAGGCAACCGGAGAGCCGCCGATCCATTACGGGGCGCTACCGGTGCTCTACCGACATCAACGAAGCTAAAGTTTACGCCGATGTCCTGACGATGCACTTTCGTTGTTAGCGATGATACCGATGCGCTGCCGTACTAGAACCGATCTCCGAAAATGGGCAAATTTGTGCTCCGGTGTAGCTCCGGCGACCCAAATCGGCGAGGTGTGACAGGACCTTTACGTAGCTGGAAGTTTGAGACACAACGCTTAAGTTACGAATATATATAACTGTACGTAGATGAGATATTATTATCTATTGTACATGTGCTACTAACAAGACTTGATCAAATTTTGGGCTTTTTTAATTTATTTATTGAGGATTATAAAACCTGATTTAGACAAAGGTTAATTTCTCTCAGGGTCCTCTATATTAGTAAAATGTGTTAGTTTAACAAAGTTCTTAAAACATAGTAATATAAACTAAACATACATGACATCTAAAATATAAGTTATGAGATTGCTGAAAATATAATATGCAATTATATAGTACAATACATCAAATATTACAGAAAGCATAAATCTCATGCTTTGAAGGGTTGATAATAGTTAAATGGCTGGAGCCTTACATACATATATACTAATATAGCAAAGTATAATAAACATTGCCAGGATATACGCTCATATAGCATAAATTTAAAACTATTTTCTTTCTCTAAAAGTGTGAATCACAGTAGTGATTTATAGCTCTATGCTTAAAAGTGTTAAAAGATGGTGATGACCTTACATCATTTGGAAGTGCATTCCAAGTTTGACAACTTGATAAAACAAAGTGACTAGAATAGAAGGTTGTCCTGTGCTTAGGAATGTACAACATATTCTGTTCAGCTTCTTCGTGTAGCCCTTCGTGTAGCCCTTCGTGTAGCAAGTCCGTGTACACATTTAAAGGTCATTACATACTTTCTATAATTTATAAACAATTGTATAGGCATCCATTGCAACACGGAAAAAAATTAAAATGAAGGAATTTAAAATGAAACATCTAAACTTAGGCGTGCTGCACGTTTTTGTAATTTATTTAACTTGTTCATTATATTGTCAGTACAGCCTCCCCACACTGTACAGCAGTATACAAAAAGCGGAAATACACAGGAATTAAAATATTTTAACCGTCCACTTACTGGCAGAAACTGTTTGATACGACGGAGTAGCCTTCATCCACAACCTACCCTCTTCAGAATGAAATTTATATGTTCTGAAAAATATAAGTGGTGGTCTAATTTTACTCCTAAAATCTTTCCAGTCTCTACCTGTGGTATTTTCTCATTTTTAACAATCAAATTAACTTCATTTTCACTTAACTTACAGCGCCTCTGTTTAGTTGTTAAAACCATACATGTTGTCTTATCTACGCTAACAATCATTTTATTGTCAGAACACAAATCTTCCACTTTCTTTAAATCATGTTCTTATTTCGCTCTGACAAGATCAACTGTTTTACCAGAAGCAGACAGTGTAGAGTCGTCTGCGTACATGTCTGTCCTGCAAGTAGTTATCAACTGTAAATCGTTGATAAATACTAAAAACATCAAAGGACCAAGGATTGAGCCCTGAGATATCCCATGAGTTATCCTCTTGGCCTCAGATAGATTTCCTGAAATAGAGACTTTTTGATACCTATCACTTAAATAAGATTTGAACCAAGATACAGCAGTGACATCACATTGATACATTTTCAATTTTTCTATAAATACAGTATGGTTAACTAGGTCAAAAGCCTTCCTAAGATCTAGGAGGACAACACCGTATATATTTCCATGATCAATTTCCTGTGCCCAATTATTAACTATATTTAAAAGGACGGTTTCACATGAATGATTTTGCCGGAAACCAGATTGTGATGAGAGGAGGAGATCTTAGGTATCTAGATTATTATTTAAACTGCTGTGAACATGCCTTTCCAATATTTTGGAAATAACAGGTAAAATAGAAATAGGCCTATAATTGGACAAACCACTTTTTAGCTAAGGCGTTAGCCGCCAGCTATTGGTATTACTTTAGTTAATGAGCTCAGATATTCATAAATGTCGATTTCACACAGACGGCCTCTAGCGGTAGTCACTGGTACTAAATTGAATCATATACCGGACCTACTGTCTTTATTATGCGTAACTTTGGACTCAAATGCACTTGAATGGCTTGTAAATATCATTACTTTTCTTTATAGAACATATGATCTTATCACAACGTCGTATTCTTATTGAAAATGCACCCTGTTTATCTCAATCGGGAACTGCTACTTGAATGTAGGTCATGCATGCTACACGCAACTTCCGGTAAAAATACTTCAGTTAATGAGCTCAGATATTCATAAACGAGACATAACGTCACCTTCTAGTAATACTAAACAAACTGCAAATAAAATCCATTACCACGGACTCAAGTTCACTCAAACGTCATTGGATATAATCTTATTCTTAGTTAGAACTAAGTATCCTTCTAAAACTTCGTATTTACTCTTGGAACTGTCGCTGGATTAACCCTTTACACGGAAATATTGTCCTGTGATTGGCTAAAATTGGTGACATTTACGTCCCTGTTTACAATTATATATTGCGTGGTCAGAGCTATGAAGCGGTCCTGTTCCAACTAACTGAGGATAATCAAAAGTGCTAATCAGTAATAATATATCTGATTCACGCTTCATATGATTATAATGTTATCAAAATATTGCATATTCGTTCATCGTTAAAATAACAAATCCTTACTAAAAACTCTAAAAAAAGAAACGACGGCCATGTTAGATCACGCGTGATGTTATCCGTTTCCTTATATGGCCTTCACGGCCAAATATAGTATTACTACTGATGCGGTCATGTTTACTACAATTTCCATATTTGGTCATGACACCCATATTTAGACGTCTGACCTATATCGGAAAGATTGAGGAAGTTTCCAACATGGCAGTCAATTAGGATTTCGCTTGCACTTGTTACGTAAACTTGATAATTTAACGAAATATAAGGCGGAGTATAACTTACAATTATGTAGGAGATCAACATAAAAAGTTCATATTACAAACCTATTAATGGATACGGATCCTGTCAATTAATTCTAAAATCGCCTCCGTGTGATTCACACCAGGCTTGCCTAACTAAAATGGGATCAACCGGCCGGGGCAGATGAGACCGGGAATCATGTTAGAACTAGCCACTGTCCTTCTCTAGTTCCATATTGGTATTCTAACCTGAAGGCTTTTTTTACCTTCGCAGTATTATCATTTTGTTCTATTTTCATCATAAGATATGCTATTGCATTTTTATATCGCCTTCTCGCTAATTACAGCTCAGCCAGAAACGAAAATATGCTCCGATAGGCCTACATTTT